TTTTTTTAATTTTAACTTCGAGTTCACCGACATCTTGCTTCTATTTTTCCGTAGTAAAAAAATTTTAATTTTCAGAGAGATTTCGGATCCTTGGAGAAAATGCAGGAATCGATGTCGTCATCCACAGTGGCCGTGCAGGGTTCCGGATGGGGATGGCTGGGATATTGCCCGAAAAGGAAAATCCTCAAGGTTTGTTTCTACGGCTAATTTTTTTAAAGCTATTTTATTCTATAACAAGCTTTTAGATAACGACGTGTCTAAATCAAGATCCTCTTGAAGCCACCACGGGATTGATTCCTTTGTTTGGTATCGATGTCTGGGAACATGCTTACTATCTCCAGTACAAGAATGTCCGACCTGATTATGTAAAAGCTATCTGGAAAATTGCCAATTGGAAGAATGTCAGCGAGAGATTTGCTAAGGCACAGCAGAGTTGAACAGCGATATGTGTTTTGAGTGTAACTTTACAATTTGGTGTAGGTGTTATGTATAAAGTTTCCAAGAGAAGCGTTTTGATCAGGAAAATAAAGGTGAGTTGAAAAGATGGGAGGGATGAAAAAAATAATGTGTGCAGCGTATAAGGTAGAAATGAGGCCATATCTTGATAGGAATTATGAGTTTTTATTACAGAAAAATTGATTTGAAAAAATTTGGGTCAGATCAAATGAGATAAAAACAGTAGTAATATTTTTTAAGCACTTATATGGAGAAGTGACAATAACCAAAACACTATATTTAATTTACTGTCAGATAAAAAATTATATCAATCTTGGTTGTTTTTCTCTAAGCAGTAGGGAGAATTCCGACTCATTCTACCATAAATGCATTTTTTCTTTCTTGCTTCAATAAACTGTCATAATCTCTGGTCCACAGATGTTATGCAGAAAAGGAAGGCAGATTTGGTCAGCGTTTTATGGTCTATGGATACGGTATACATCTCATCTAGAAAGCCCACTTCGACTAAACGTGGTTTCCTTGTCAGCAAGAATATTCTATTCCTTCTTTCCATAGTTGGTGTTCTGAATTTCTTTGTGTCACAGAGGTTATTAGCCTCTTCTTACAAA